CCGCCACAATGCCTGGCTATTTTTTGGTTGCAGCCATCATTGTTGTTTGGTGGGCCGGGCTGGATTCGAACCCGCCACCTTAGGTATAAGTGGTTGGCACCTTAGCCACTTGAGCCACAGGCGCTAAGCCTGAAGACAGGAATTCAAGACCAACTTGGACAACATAGTGAGACCCTACCTCTTTAAAAAAAAAAGTTTTCTAATTAGCTGAGTGTGGTGAACAGCATCTCTAGCTACTGGAGAGGCTGAGGTGGGAGGATTGCTTGAGCCCAGGAGTTGGAGACTTCGATGAGCTATATCACATCACTGCACTCTAAATAAGCTATTTAACAAAAATACCTTCCATTATACTATACCCTCAACAAAAATCCTATTGTTTAAAAAAAAAAGAAAATCAGAACATCCAAATTACAGTAAGGATCAGAATGTTTCCCAGACCATGAATCATTTATTTAAAATTTACCAAAAGAGGCTTGGCACCTGTAGCTCAGTGGCTAGGGAGCCAGCCACATACACCAGAGCTGTTGGGTTCAAACCCAGCTCGGACTGCCAAACAACAATGACAGCTACAACCAAAAAATAGCCGGGCATTGTAGCAGGTGCCTGTAGTCTCAGCTACTTGGGAGGCTGAGGCAAGAGAATCGCTTAAGCCCAAGAATTTGAGGTTGCTGTGAGCTATGATGCTACAGCACTCTACCAAGGGCGACATAATGAAACTCTATCTCAAAAAAATAAAATAAAATTTACCAAAAGAAAAGACAAAAAAGCCAACCAATACTTTAAGAAGGGGTGTGGTAGTAGCAGGAAGCAATCAAACAGAAGGAGCTATTGCAGCTTCAGGAAGACTGAAGTGTTGCGGTCTGCCCAGTCTGCCAGATGTATTACCCTTCCCAAATGGCCCAGGATGTCGGGAAAGCACCAAGGCCTCTGCTTCTTTCTCATTTTCCCCATCCTTTTCTACCTCGGCATTTTAGCCTACTTTACATGATCTGTAAACAAAGATTTACTACTTAATTGCATAAGATAATGTATATAAAAATACTTGACAAAAATGTAAATACCTTTAAGACAGTTATAATTTATTTATTTATTTTTTCTTTTGCAGTTTTTGGCTGGGGCCAAGTTTGAACCCCCCACCTCCAGCATATGGGGCCAGCGCCCTACTCCTTTAAGCCACAAGCGCCACCCGACAATTATAATTTTAAGCTTAAAATTAAATTAAATAAGCTGTTTAACAAAAATACCTTCCATTATACTATACTCTCAACTTCTAGGTGTAAATAATCACACAAACTTCTATATTCAGACTTTTTTTTAATTGAATAAGGGAAGCAATTTTAATAAAGCTCCAGTAGTCAGTGTGGTATAATTAAGGAAGGTATAAGAAGGTGCCAATCTATCTTTTTTTTTTAATTTCAGATTAATATGAGGGTACAATTAGGTTACATTGTTTCTGTTTGTCAGGTAAAGTTCACTGTTTCCATATTCAGCCTTCTTAATGATCTGTATGATGTTATTTATATTTAGGATGAAACTGCCCTTATAAATTGATAAAGGGGTACAAGGTGAAAACTAAAGTAAGGACTCCAAAACTCTGCAAAGGGACATGCTTAGCTAAAATAATGATAATAATCAGCCACTATCCCCTCATTTGCT